AGATGTGTATAAGCACTAACTATATATATACACACAAATCAAGTTTACTGCATAGCACCATAGAATATAACATGTTCATATTTGAGTACTGACATTTATTTATCTATTTGCAAGTTGAGCCAAAGCAATTACTCGATATCATTCATCAAACATAACATTGAGAAAGCGTGATCAAAATCCCGACATGATATTCTTTAATACAGACCTAACCCTAAAACCACATGCATCCCTCCTATACCGGACTATAACCCCCGTAGCTATCCTAATCTATTAAACTAGACTTCCAGGTGCTGAAAACCCATTAATACCTGTCACAAAAAAAAAAAAAAAAAAAATTAAAAAATCCCCCTATATAAACCTTAAACATATCCTGACTTCATCCCATCCTAACATGATCCTCCCTTATCTTGTAACCGTACTTTCAACAACTCACATTAAAAGATATATCCATTACGAGCAAATCTATCAAGTTCCCTCATTTTAACATAACCATCAACCCACCATCTCTCACATGCAATTATCATATGTTCCAAGTGTGATTGTGGTTACCACTCCTCCCACACTGCAGTCTGTTTTACCTTCCCAGCATATGCCGGTACCCGTGTGGAGAGAGACAAACGTAGATGTGTCTTGCTTAAGGGCACAAGCCACTTGCACAGCAAGGGCTTAGAACCTCTCACCTCAAGGTTGAGAGTCCGAGTTACAACCGTCGCGCCAACCACTATTCTACTATGCAAATGGATATTAAATTTAAAACCAGAAACAAAGAATATGCTAGTATTGCATTGATTTGAACCCAATGAGCAACATATAAGCTTTATCACAGCTACTCCATTTATTTATTTGACACACAACACATGCTTGTCAACAGCGAATATAGTGTCCTATTGTTGTAGGTGACAATCCTTTTCACAAGAACTGTACACACCATGTTTCACACAAACTAAATCTCAATTTGAGGTTTAGGAAGTGGAGTTGTTTTTGATTGTGAGAAAAAATTCTGAAACAATGACAGGAATTGGTTTGCCACCCTGTTCAACTCCACTCACCTGACACTTGTTATGCATGAAAGAACACTCTTTCATAGGCTACCAACACTAATGGGTCATGGAACATAACATTAAGTAGATGTTAAGAACCCACAAGTGTCTATTTACACCTTCATGCTATAAGGAAGTAGAAGTCCACTGGTAAAACTGTAGCTTCATGTTGGAACCATTGCCGGTACAGTAAGTTGAATTCACATTAATTTTAACTCATATATTTTTTATAAATCTATGCTTAGTTTATCATCATTAGCCAACATGGAAACACATATCACATTCATCTTTATAAACCTTAATTTAAGGAAGTTTGGTTTCCTTAAAAGTGGTTGGTATACTTGTCCATCAAAGCCCTACTCTCTGAAAAGGAAGGTAGGCACAGCCAAACCTCCAATTTATATACATCTTGGGACCAAAATACCAAACTAAATTAAGTACATGTTGTGTAGGGCAATGGTTACAAAAATTTTAATATTTAGTTTTCTTAGTCTTGGCCCTATTTCAGCCTGTAGCTGCAACTTTGCTACCTATTCTCAAATATCATTCAAAAGTTGGAATGAACCACCACATAAAAATTAATTTTCAAGAAATGTCAATATTTTCATTCTAAAATCATTTAAAATAATGTTTTAAATCAATGACTCTCTTTCAATTTTTTTTAATCATTGATTCATTGTTTATTAACACTGTATTTTTATGCTTCTCGTCACTGTACTGCTTTAAAAATCAGTACTATAGTACTGAAAGGGCCTACAGTATAAAGAATGAAAGAATGAATGAATGAATGAATGAATGAATGAATGAATAAATGAATAAATGAATGAATAAATAAATAAATATAATAAAATAAAATACTTTGGGTTCCACCGTAGTTCATCATTAAATCAATGACTTTCTCTTTTTTATTATTATTTTTTTTTTTATCATTGATTAATTGTTTATAACACTGTATTTTTATGTTTTTTGTCACTGTCCCACTTTGAAAATCAGTACTATAGTACTGAAAGTGCCTACAGTATAAAGAAAGAAAAAAATAAATAAACAAATAATAAATATATAAAATACTTTAAATTTTGGGTTCCACTGTAGATCATCATTAAGTTTATTTTAAAAATGTAATATTTTCCAAGTGTTTATTGAAATTTAAAAAAAAATTAAAATGAAAATAGGTCAGAACATCACAAATGAGCTGGGTAAAATAATTTCTAAGTTGAATATGTAACTTGGTGTGATAATAGAAGAGTCAACTGTACATGTGGCTTTTGAGATCTGATTTTTAGATTAATAGACTTTTTCAATAAAATAAAAATAGATTTAAGGATCTATTGTATTACATTTCAATCAAGATATTAAGAAATTATCAAAAAAAATAATTTGTATAGATGACAAATTTCTTTTTTTGTGAAAACTAAAGAAACAAAGTATGGTACTTACTTTCAGAAATCTATTTAAAAATCTTTATCAAATTATTCTTTCAACAGGTTACAATGCAGTTTATAACCAAACTGTATTAGTATAGTTATAATCATCTGAAAGTCTTAAGAAGACAGACATAAATTAATAACAGAACGGAAGATATATACATCACTTCTTAATTCATTGGTCTGCAAGAACTATAAATATGAGCTATAATATCTCGTTGTGGAGTATAGTCCTCTTGATGTACATGTCGGAAACGCCTACTTGTGTGGTGAGAGGACAGCCCATTAGTTCTGTACCTGGAATGAATGTATCTCTGCCTTGTATGGCTGTGAATGACCAAAAAACTATTAAATGGTGGGGTCATAATGGTTACATAAGTTCTGGAAAAGATTTTCTTGAAATATTCAACACACTGAAGGAATACTGTGCAATTGGTACAGGTAACGACTACAGTTTATTCATTATGATACCTGATGACAAAAATATCTGGCCATATCTTGCAGAAACCTATGAATGTAGGTTAGTGCCAGGAAATGATGAAGATGTCACGACTATTGAAAGTTATGAGCTACAAATCTACCAGCCAGAATGCACAATCTACCATATTAATAGTAGCATAGCAGTTGCTTCATGTTCCTATCAAAATATTCCAGAGTTTCAAGTAAAATTGCTTATTGACAATAGTGACAATCCAGAGATGAACCACTGCACATCTGATACCTGTACACTGAATTACACATACAGCCCAAGTGAAGTTATTGCACAAGATCTTGTGTGTAGTGTCACAATATCTGAGAAAGAATTGTCAAGAACAATATGTTCAATGCAGAACTACATTACAAAATTACCACAAGAAACCACTGAAGAATCGCTAACCTCAGCCTCATCTCCAATCTCATCTTCCCCAACCTCAACCTCCCCAACCTTGAACCTTGCCACAGAAAATTCACTAACCAGTTCCACAAAGTCAACCACCAACAAAAGTGCTTTTCCTTTAAAGACAATCATTATAAACACAAAAACCACCCCAACCATCATGATATCTACAGTCACTACAAACATACAAAACACCTCAACAATCATGACTACAACAGTCCTAGAAAGAATTGCCATCTCTTCAACCACGTCAACTACAACAGGAGGCATTGCAATATATTTAATAGTCATATTGTCCGGAGCTGCTGTAATAATAATGTTTCTAATTATTTTACTATATTTTGTAAGAAGAAGCTTCAAAGTTAAACAAAATTCTTCAAGAAAATCACAATCAGCTGATAAAAATGTATACCTTGAAAATGACGAAAAGAAAAACACACAAAAAATTAGCATGATGGAAAGACATACAGCACAAAAACATAACATCAATTTTGAACAATCTTCTGTGGATAGTGAGATGGAAGATAATTGCATCTACCAATCAGCAGACACCAATGCTGATGAACAGAATAGAAATATTGAAGGAGATAATGTTGCCATGAGATTAAGCCGCAAGGCTAACACAGGGCAAACGGACAAAGCTTATGTAGAAATTAATGAAATAATAGATAAAAAAAGTAGGAATAAGAAAAGTGACAGGCTTACTACATTGCAGACACAGAACAAGGTTGAAACATCTGATGATTTGGGGTATATAGAAAATGAAAACGAGGCTTACCAATCACTTGATGAGGTCAATGAAAGAACAAGGAATGCCGGCATAATCCAGGAAGGATCGGGAGGAACACAAGCTACTGAGCAAAATGATGTTCACTATGATGTGCTTGAAAGAGATGCATAAATTTAATTTTATAAAGGTATTTATACAAAACCAGTTTTTAATGCCTGTGGTAAATGAACTTTGTATGTATGTGTTGTTTTTCAACTTTCTCCATATGCTTTGCTTATGATAATTGTATGCAAAATGACTGTGACTAGTTACGGGAGATTGTCCAGACATCATCATTAGCACCTCATTATGAGACTGAATGAATAAATGATGCAAAATGTGTTCATTAAAATATGTTATTATGTCATGAACTTATAATTATGTTCAATTATCCACAAAATAGTCCATATACAGTATTGTCGACATGAGCGGAAAATTACATAAATTTAAGTTTAACTGCACCTTTTATATCAGAAACATAATACTATAATTATAAAGCAAAACTTATGTAGGGCTAGCCAAAATAAAAAAGAAATGAATTAATTAGAAAATTAAAACCCATACAGAACAACCCACAATTAACAGGCACATATTTATACTGAAAAAAATAGCAGTGGCGGATCCAGGAATTTGAAATAGAGGGGGCCCAGGGAGGTATTTTGACAGAGAGCGAGATAGAGTCTAGACCACCTTATAGTGCCACTGTGGTTGGGGTTAGGGCTGAGGTTGAAATTTTATGATTATAACACCTTGCCAGAAATATGGCACTCTAGACAAGTTGAATCCGCCTATAAATAGGTTAAGACAAGTTTGTACAATGGAACCACTAATCAACCAATCTATTAATCAATTTTTAAAACATATAAGCAGTGCCAAATGTAAATTTTAAGGTACTTAAAAGAGAATTTCCAAATATCTCTCATATATCTATCGAGAGTACCTTAGCTCAGTCGGCCAATCTGGTGGTAGCCGCTGTGTGTGCGCTGAACCCTGGAGATCTCTAAGTCCCCGGTTCAATTCCCATCGCTGCCTCTCCTTGTATTTCAGCTGGAGGGCTGAAATACACAAGTTATAATGGCGCACCGTCTTTCGGATGAGACGTTTAAGCCGTTGGTCTTGTGTGCATTGATGGCCCATGTGCACGTTAAAGAACGCAGTACACTATATGGAAAAGAGTAGGGGATTGTCTCCCGGTGTACTGCCCAATCACCACCAGAAGGACCCCACTGGAAATAAGTCTTCTTCTAGACTTTCGTGGCCTATCCTTGGTGTTTACACTGAATAAATCCAATCCAATCCAATCATAACATTGTACTCTCCAGTATAAAAGTTGAATAAAATAGAAATGATGTGATATATTTAATTTCAAAGTTAAAAGAGTAGTGTATTGACTATTACAATGAGTTTAACATGGAATGTGAGAAGTAAAAGATCTGCACTTTATGTTGAATTACCATTATATTTAGAATATGAATCACAACACAAACATCAAACTGTTTGGAAAATATAATTGACAGACAAAACAACATGTACAATATCATTGGTCAACAAACTTTCAAAGGGATCAGTAGCATTTTTATCAACCTACTGGGCCCAACAAGGAAGTAGTAGGCAAAGTAAAACTGTAGCTAGAACCAGTTCAGATACAAGTTTGGTTGTCGTTAATTTTGCACCTGATATTTTACTAAATTTAAATGTGGACTTCAATAATTTTAAATACATAGCACTTAGGATTTAGTCACAACCTGTCAACACATGTTAAATAATCAATATAAATTTAAATAAAAAAAATACTGTATTTAATTGTATAAACACCTGGGGTGATTATTGTTGAATGGTTTTTGAGGTGGGCGTTCAATAAAGGGAGGCGTTTATTATTTTTTTGTAAAATGGATATGTATATACTCTAATAAACATCCTTTATTTCACAATAAGTGTGAATCTACAACACATAATAAAGTGTTATTGCATGATTATAAAGACTTGTTAATCCTAACCAGGTTAGAATTAGAATAAATGTAATTCTATTTTAGGTAAACATTATACAATCGGTTGAGAATGATGTTGCTTCCAGACAATTCCATGCAAATCAGGACATGGCACCTAAATTTTTAAAATAGTGATATCCTACCAAATTTGGTATCAAATTAAATATGAAATTCTGAATTGTCATGAAATGGTTTTCAAATTTTGATACTTAAATTTTATATATGAAATACAATTAATGTTATCTTTTGAAAAAAAAATGAATAAATTAGGCCAACTTTTAAAGTGCTTACTTTATGCTCTTTAACAAATATTATCAACATCTGATTGGATTTGTAATTATTAGTATCTATATGTGGTGTGTACTTCAATTTCAGAAAATGTAAAAATATTCAACTATCTGTTTAATTATACAATTGACATTACAGTACTAATAAATATGCAGTATAGGTTGTAGGGTGTGAGAGTTCTTGATCGAATTCACCATAGGCTACGAGCCATGTACCTTTAAAATATAACCACACAATAAGAAAACTACAGTTACAACTTACTAAGCACACTTTCAATGATGTCATCATACAGTAAAGTAGTAAAGTATTTATTAACGTCTCACCCTCTAACAAAGGCCAGCCATACCTGGCTTACGAGAGACAAAATATAATAGTACAATTAAAAAGTAGAGTACAGTGTAAACACACAAAATATATAATACTGTAGTGCTAATTAAGATTAAATAAAAACCCTTACTTTTTTTCCAAAATCATATAAGCAAATTTATCAACATGAAAACAAAGGTTGCCGTTAGAGAGCATATACGTAAATCTTTGCTTCTCAGGCAAGTTAGAATAATGGATCAATATTATTAATCTCAAATTCCCCATCAGCTGTAATGAGTGTTCAATCAATAACAAACCTGACCCAGTATAAGAATTTACATGCGTCCAGTTGCAGTGATGATCAGAATATAGGTTTGTACGAAATATTTTCTCAAAATATATATTTTATTCAATATGAAAATGTGGGCTAATCATACAGTAGGAAATAATGCTGAAATTAATAGCAAATATTTTTAGTGCATGGAGCATACTCAGTGCAAAATAGCTTCTATTAAAAGCTGGTTATGATGAGTTCTGTGTGGCATAGATGGTATGTAAATAGAGCTGTACAGTAAGCCTGCAGTGCTAGCTAGTCTAGGGTTGTTTAACTACGTATAATATAGTTTCTGGACCAAGAGTACTGTAGGCTTAAGTCAATGGTATTCAGATTTAAGAATACTGCTTCATTATTGTTAAATTTATTTGTGAAGGTCTTTGTCAAAAAGGTGTTGTATGTTGCTACCTACTTTTTATTATTCATTTTGCGTTTGTTTTTCAGTATTGTTCATAATAAGACAATTAAAAAGTAGAGTACAGTGTAAACACACAAAATATATAATACTGTAGTGCTAATTAAGGTTAAATAAAAACCCTTACGTTTTTTCCAAAATCATATAAGCAAATTTATCAACATGAAAACAAAGGTTGCTGTTAGAGAGCATATACGTAAATTTTTGCTTCTCAGGCGAGTTAGAATAATGGATCAATATTATTAATCTCAAATTCTCCATCAGCTGTAATGAGTGTTCAATCAATAACAAACTTGACCCAGTATAGGAATTTACATGCGTCCAGTTGCAGTGATGATCAGAATATAGGTTTGTACGAAATATTTTCTCAAAATATATATTTTATTCAATACGCAAATGTGGGCTAATCATACAGTAGGAAATAATGCTGAAATTAATAGCAAATATTTTTAGTGCATGGAGCATACTCAGTGCAAAATAGCTTCTATTAAAAGCTGGTTATGATGAGTTCTGTGTGGCATAGATGGTATGTAAATAGAGCTGTACAGTAAGCCTGCAGTGCTAGCTAGTCTAGGGTTGTTTAACTACGTATAATATAGTTTCTGGACCAAGAGTACTGTAGGCTTAAGTCAATGGTATTCAGATTTAAGAATACTGCTTCATTATTGTTAAATTTATTTGTGAAGGTCTTTGTCAAAAAGGTGTTGTATGTTGCTACATACTTTTTATTATTCATTTTGCGTTTGTTTTTCAGTATTGTTCATAATAAGACAATAATGCATCATTAGTTGCCAGGGCGCCAGCAGATGGGAGGGAGGGGGCTTAAGCCCCTCCATTGGGCAGGTCAATTTCCCCTCCCCATCCCAACCAGAGCTTGGCGGGTTGAAGCAAAAAAAAAAACATTAAGCATTGGGAGCCCACGTTAGCGTTACTTCTTGAATCCTCTAAAACTGAGGATTTTATCATTTACCAAACTGTCAAAATCAGAGTGTATAACAACAAAAGGTTAAACTAAGTGCCCATAAGTACTCTCTAGTGTGTATAAACCCATTAATCATTTTTCCATGGAGTCGTGGGTGAACTTCATTCAGTTGTTGGTGGATATGTGGTAACTTGTCACTATCCAGCCCAAGTACCCTGGGAGTGACCAGGCATACCCAATTAATTACCTCAGTGGTTTAAAAAAACTACTGGACTCATCAATCACAAACCCAACTGGAAAATCCTAAAAGTAACGTCTACATGGGCTCAAACGCCAAAAGAAAATTTTTTAAATAGGCCTACACCAAGTCATGTGTTTCTCACAGTTCGAGTGCCAATTCCGGCCATCCAGATGTCCCTATTAAAAAAAAAATCTCAAACCCTCCCTCTGCGCGGGCATATGATCTCTAGTCCTCCTCTTAGACAGCTTAGCCCCCAAAATATATCCTACAGCTGCCACTGTGTGGCATATTTGCACTAACAACCTAACAAAAAAATAGTCTACTGCCTTATACAGGAGTTTTTGTTTTTAAAATTTTATCTTAGTACAGTACCATCCAGAAAACATTAGCCCTCCGCACACATTTTTTCCGCATATGAAAATCGTGTGACACGCAGTTAATTAGCTAGTAATAGGACCAGCCATACGCAGTCAACCGTTACGGCATTGAGTAATTCATGGTTTCAACGAACTGCCTAATGATTTTTACGTTCAACAAATTGGTCTGTGTTGTTTATCAGCCAGACAAAGGACAGAGCCTGTCTTTATTTCGGAACAATGCAACTGGGAATAAACTTGATACTTTCATGGATATGCTGGTATATCCACAGGTATC